AGTGACCTCAACCTCAAGGTCAGAGGTCAAGTTTTCAGAAAATCTCGTGAATGTGAAAACTCAAGAAGGAAGTCACCTAGGATTTTGAAATCGTCTACTAAAAATCTCGGACGAGTTCAAATGTCAGTGACCTCGACCTCAGCTCTGATCTTTTTGTTATCAGGTGAAACCTGACCTGTAACCGGACTAATCTCGTCTGTCGCATGCTCTTTTCTTCTTTTTGTTGGAGTGTCATTTTTATCAAACGTTATAACTTCTTTAGAGGTTGACAGGTCAGAGCAAAATTATCTAGTGAATTAGAGCTGCTGCATTTTTTTTCCACATAAGTTTTCAATCCTTCATATTTATGATTCATGTCATTCCCATTAGCCTCAGCTTTATTTTGTCTTGAGTGCTAATTAGCAATCATCCTATCATAACATTGTAAATCACGGTGATCAGCCTACCCCAACTTTATTATCATAGCAGGTTTTCCTGCTTTGCATCAGCCTTAGATTAGAGTACTTTTACTCAAAGCACTGTGATGTGAAACTCACATGTTTATTTCTGTAGTTTGCATCTCTTCTCAACAGCCTATTTAAGATTTGTATACATGTCCATTACAGCTCAGAGTTAACCCTTCTGTGCTATTCACTAGATGCACTTCCTGGAGCTGGTGAGATGGAGGAAGCTTACAATGAGCTCTACCAGCAGTTTCTTCGCTTGAGGTCACTTTGTCTGAAACAGGCAGCTCTGCTGCAGCAACTCACAACAGCCCTGCAGAAACAGCAAGGTCTGCATATGAAAAAACACTAATGCTCTAAAACAGCTTCTCAGTCGTAATGCTTCAAACCTTAAACAACTATTTTTGTGCAGGTGCATCTATTCCTAATGGAGAATTAAGTAATGTGATGTCCGTTCCTGTTCAGTTTACCAATGAAATCCCTACATATCTCCTTGAGAAACCTCAAACATTAACATCCGTGACACAAATCCCTGCAGCACAGTGTGGCGCTGATTACCATTCAAGAAATACAAAGAGCTTCCCTGATCTCCTTGCTGATGATATGACCAAGCTCTGCGTTGATGTGCCCTCTCAAAGAAAGGAAAGTGTTAAGGCGGAGAACAAATTCCCATTGTTGTTACCACTGGACTCCTTGGCGTGCCATGGAGCCTCTTACAATGAATCCAGAAATTCAAAGCAAAATCATCCTGCTGGAGACAGAACTCTACGCACAATCAGGGTAAAAGACGAGCCACAACTGTAGATATTTACACTGTGACTCTGATTTACTGCGCTCTTCACATACATCTTCTCTGTGGTTCTGTTAGATGCCTGTGATGGACTGCTGCACCCTGATTAATGACTTCCAAGGTGGATCTGGTGGGGCGATGTTGTCGGACGTGGCTCTGCAGTCTCACATTTGTGAGTTTTGCCAGGCAGTTTTCCCTGGACACACAACTACAAGAGGAGAGTTCCTACGACATCTGAACACTCACGTCACCTAGATTAAATGAAGTTTCCTCTTGACGTATGACTGACAGTATGTGTTAATATGATAGTCTTTGATGGTGCATGCACAAACCAATCAGTCTGATCCCAGGATTGAAATGGACCTGCAGTTTAGCTTTTTGTCTCTGAATGAACTGTGCAGATGCTGATACAGCTTTTCGGTCTCTTTCGTCTAAAATGAAAGGCAGAAATAGACTTTAGAGCTTAAATGATCACAAAGTTCTGGGAATGGGCATATTAAATACATAACTTCATCTGATTTAAATGAGCAAATTCCCCTTGGTTAAACTCCAGTATGCATGATGTTGGTGGTCCACAGAGTGACTTTTTTAAAAAGCAGCTGTGATGGAAGCTGTCTGAAGATGCCCAAGAACTGACCCTGAGGGGGAGATCAGTCAAATTTATATCGGGTTTGCGTTTTGATTTTTATCAGCCTCTTCCTGGAACCTACTATAATAAAACCACCATGACGTCACTCACTCACCCATTCAGTCTGTGGACTGTTGAAGCCTCACTGAGCATTTTGGCTGTCACCATCTGGGATCCCCCAGGTGGGTCTTACTGAAACACTGAGGACACTGCACACCAATGATACCGACTTACACAAACCCCGCTTCATTGTCTGTTTTACTCTAAATGAGACGATAAATTATGAAATGAACATAATGTGAGGCAAGTGTTTACCGAAGTCTTAAATCGAGCGACATGGCAACATTTTCTCAAAGACTTCTATATAATCTCTATTTATCTGTACGGAGCATTCAGTAGAAGCAGTCTGTGCAGTCCATAGACTTTATCACTCGCTATTAATCATGGGTACATTACACCTAAGCTCTCTGTGTTTCTGACAAGACACTAGTAGCGTCTTTTCTTTAGGCTATGTGGCGTCAAAGTCAATTTAAGGCAGCTGGTCTTCTTGTATGGTGTGATGTTTTAATGCAGCTAGAAAACATAAACTTTTGCCAACTAAAATAATCCACTGGATTTTATTCTAAATAAATCTAAGTGATCAGGGGAATAGGACCCAGAAAAAAGATAGAATAGCCCATTTTCAATTAAGGTTTCTCCCAGTCCTAAAAGCTAACCTTTACCAATATTCATAAATCATGGGTTTACAAATTCATGCCCATGTTTATCTACTTTTGTTGGTTATTTAATTTGTGCATTGCTGATGAAGGCACGTATGGAAAATTAAACCCTGTGTTGTTCATGAGCTCAAGTAATGGCAAGTAACTTTCCACATGGTGTCATCCTCTTCTAATCTAAAGCAAACCTGCTTAGATGGGTGACTAACCAGCTGATGGTTTATTGTCTGCTGGTTATGTGATGCTAATTTTACATACATCCATTCTGGATGGAAATATATTATTTTTTCTTAATTCTTATTCCTAAAAATATGCCTAAAAATATTTTAAACAATCTTTTTAAGCCTGGATGTGTAAATGATATCCATTAATAAAAAATGTACTGATGATTGATATGAAGTTTTCTTGGTTATTCTTTGGAACCACAAACACTTGGAACTTTGTGACGTTGCCAAATAAACATGATATGCAGAAATGGCTCATCAGAACTATTCTACTAATCATCACGTCGCAAAAAATGTGAATGCTGATAATGTGAAATCTTTTAACTTTTAACAGACAATCTGCAATTATTTTATGCCTTTAATCGGATCAGCTGTCTGTTGCTAAGCCGAGTAACAGAGGAAAAAAGACAGATCTAAGAATAGCCTAAAGATTTAACTCCCTAATTAATGGTGCTGACAGCTGATTGATGATGCAGCTCCCTTCATCTGTTGCCACACTGACTGTCTCTCATAATCACACACTAACTTGGATGTATTTGCTATTTTTTAAAAAGCTAAATGCATTTTTTAACATAAAAAAAAAAAACACTATTTACTACTTTAGAAGTGGTCCAAATGGTAGAGGGATTGTAATTCAATAACAAGACTGTAGCTGTGCTTTGAATGTCAGCACTCTAGCATGCTCAGTGTAATCCAAGCCATGTTCATCCTCTGAGTGTGTTACCATGATAATATTTGCTATTTAGCAGTAAACCACAGAGCAGCTGTGGCTGATGGGAATGTCATGAACATAAGTGCTGGATAAACAGATCATTTGATCAGATGGAGGCAATTCATCCTATGAGGAACATGGATGTCTTGAGGTCAAATTTATTACTGTGTAGACATGGATTCACTGGCCACTTCATTAGGTACATCTGATAAACAGCTGGTTAATAGATTTATATAATCATCCAATCATACAGCAGCATTTATGAATGTAGACATGGTCTAAACAACCTGCTGAAGTTCCAGCCGAGCATCAAAATGAACTTTAAATGAGGAATGGTTTTTAGTGCCAGATAGGTTGGCCTGTGCTAATCTGCTGGGATTTCCCTCCATAACCATCTCTACGGTCAACAGAAAATCGTTTGCAAAAGAGAAAATATCCATTGAGCAGCATTTCTCTGGTTGAAATGCCTTGTGGATGTCAGAGAAGAATAGAAAAACTGCTTTGAGCTGACAGGAAGACAACAGTAACTCAAACAACCACTTACTGCCAACCAAAGTATGCAGAAGAGCATCTCTGAGTGTGCAACACATCAAACCTTCGTAGAATAAAGCAGCAGCACACAGGAGCAGGTGCTCTTCCTGCTAACTAAGAACAGGAAACTGAAGCTACAATTCATACAAAGTCACCAAAAGAAAATGGGAAAAATGTGGCCAGGTCTCCAATTCCGCTGCAGCATTCAGATTAATTTAATAAACAAGTCTACCTGAGTACTGTTGCTAACCATTTCCACACCTTTATGACCACAGTGCACCCATTGTCTGATTTCTGCTTCATAAAGAGCAACATGCCATGTCACAAGGCTCAGATCATCTCAAAATAGTTTCTTGAGAATGGCAATGAATTCCCTGTACTCAAATGACCTCCACTGTGACCAGATGTCAATCTGGTAGAGCACCTTTGGGATGTGGTGGAGCAGGAGCTTCTATTCATGGGTGGGGGGTTTGCAGTAACTGTGCGATGCTCTCATGTCTATTAGCAAGGTGTACCTAATAAACTGACAGGTGAGTATATTTCAGTCTGGATAACCAACTGAATGAGTCCCTGCACTGTAAAGCTCAGTTCAACATACTAAAACTGCAAATACTTTTGATTTTTGTTACAGCAATAAACCTCAAAATAATTGAAAATAGCGAAGCCGATCCCTCCGGGTGGTCTGATTCTTGTGTCTGTGTGGTCTCTGGTGAAAAACAGCCGCGTGGAGGAGCAGTGTTGACATCACTGGCACAGGTGAGTCATGCCGGCATCGAGGCTTGATGCGGAGCGTCAGTGCAGCTAACAAGACGACAGCAGAGGTGTTGCTGGCTGTGTGACGCAGCTCCCGCAGCCTCTTGCTCAAACAAGAGCTGCCAAGAAACAACTGAGTCTTTGTGGAAAACGATGCAACACACTGTAGCCTTAATCAGTAAAATAACATTTATTGAGATCTAACAAAATAAATAATCTGTTTGCAACAATGAACTGAGGAGGTTACTAATGCTGAAGAGACGAGCAGGTGTAATGATGCACAGCGGCCTCCCTCACGGGCATACTCTGAGATTAGAACACAAAATCATAAGACTGTTACACATTTTAACACCCTGTGTGGAACCCAGAGGTTGATTTCGCTTGTACGAGATGCTGTTGTAAAAGTCAAGCTCCAGTAGATTTCTCCCCGTAAATTCCTGCCTGTGTTTTTATTCTCCTAATGTGAGATTAGCCACCCTCAGAGGTATGTGCCTCAGATCACAGAAGAACTGACATACGGTTCACCTCGCTAATCTATGACTACAAAAAATATCATCCCAAAGACAAACTGCCATAGTGTGTTTCCAGTACACCTACAAGAAAAAATCCAATCCATAAAAAAAATATTAAATCTTACAACTTAGTTTTGAATGTAGGTTTTTCAAAGGCTATACAATGGTGCCTTTAGTGCACGAGATTAAACCGCAGATGACAGAGAGGAGCAGCTGAGCTCAAAGCCGAATTCTTCCCCCCGCTGAAGGAACCTCGAGCGAGACGCTGTAACCAACCCTGAAAGCTGATTTCACAGTCTACACTGCTCCTGTTTCATGCCACGCAGCTTAGAAACAGTGCTCCGTGTACACTTTCACATAATGAAAGAGGACGAAATGTTGCACCATCATCACTTCAACCATGTGTGCAACAGAAAGTTGTGAGCGAGGTGTGTTTTTATTTTTTGTTTGTTTTTTTAAATCTGATGGGATGTAAGCTGATGCAGCAAAAGACAAAAGGCATCTCGTCCTCATAGTTGGGTTTGCCTGCATGCAATCTGGATGAAAACATGTTCCCCCAAAGTCTCTCTTAAAAATATTCTGTCTTTAACACCAGAACATCCGTCTGTTTCCTGAGAGTGAGGAGCTTCAGGGGGGGTTAATCCTACTGCTTTTATGCTCTAACTTGCTGCAAGTGTTATTAAGTACCTCTGCTAAACACAACTACAACGAGTCGCTCAGTGCGGAGGAACTGGAGGATTAGTTTCCAAAGTTGCAGTGCCCCCTGCTGTGGTGAGCCCGTTTTGTCTCAAGCAGGTGGCACATCCAACACACAGCAATGATCACAACAAAGTAATTCAGTTCTTTTTTGAGCATTTTTTTCTTATATCAGCTCAAATCTGTGGGACATTTTGTCCATGTGTTAAAAAATAAAACAACAAAAGGAGTCTCTTCCCTGTGTATTCACTGAATATAAAATCAAAAACATTTTGAACTTCATTCACAACCTCAGGATTCAGAAGTCACTGTAGATTTATAATATCAGTTGCTGGTAATTTCTCACATTTCCTGTACTTGCTTGAAGTCAGTAAGAGTCTTCCTCTCCATCAGATGTCAGTGAAGTAAATGTGGCCTGTTTACAAGTCTCTGATTGGAGCTCAGTGGCAGGCCCACGTTTGAGGTCCCTGATAAGCTCCTGAAGGTTTCATTTCCCTCGGTGGTTGGAGTCATCTTTGGTGACACAAGGGCTACTGCTCCTGCATGTTGCTATCGAGCTCTGCCTCTCCACTTTAATGTCATGGTCTGTGGAGAGATGCAAATTTGAAGAGAGGAAAGTACACCAGTCAGCCCCAACATTAAATAACCTCTGACGGGTGAAGTGAATACCAGTGATCACGTCAATACAATCTGGTGATCTGCTGGAAAACTTTTGTGTCTCAGCATTCATGTAGATGCTACTTTGACAAGCACCGACTGACTAAACAGTGATGCAGACCAAGTGTGACACCCCGAACCCAACACGGTGTAAAAAGGGATCAGGAATTACTATAGGAAAAACTCAGAGGTGCTGGTCTGATAGCCATACTCCACAGATTCCAATCTAACTGAGCATTCATGGGAAAAACACATGATTCATGGGGGAAACCCACTGGATCCAAACAAACAGTCACAGCTCTTGACTCCACATGATACTCCTACAGGTTCACACCGTGACGGATCAGGGATGTTTTCCCAGTTTTAATGCCCTGGCTGATCAGCAAGTACATAAAAAGCACAGAGAGTTAAAAACAACTCCAATCCAAAACAGGTGGTTTTTGGAGGAATAGATCTATTCAGATTGTCTGAATTTTCCTGATTGACGTAAATCAACAGCACATCACTTTAACAAAAGACAGGCAGATGTCACATGGATGAGTATGAGTTAGGACTGCACAGCAATCAAGATTCAACTAGTGATTAAGGGCGTTTAAAAAGCCGTTTGGGGAATTCACCAAGAAGTTCTCCCACATGGAGTGAAGTCATCACGGTTTGTATGACCGAGCAGCTCAATAACAAAATGTCTCCAGTGTTGCACAGAGAGAGATAGACTGAGTTGAATTATTATTTTTTGGCTGGTAATAAAGCAGCGATGAAGTCAGCAAATCAAGTGAGCAAGACAGAAAAGACATGAAAAAATCAAAACAGAAGAGGCCGATGATCACCGTGTTTTTGTAGCGAGCCAACGATGTAAACACACTCGTGAATCTATTTCATTTACTTGCTCCTCGGAGTGTGTGTGCATGTCTGCATAAGACATAAACAGCATTATTTTTAATATGAGAGAGAGAAAAAATCACACCATCGGTAAAACATTGTATCATCATGAGGATTTAAAAATAAATTACATACATGTAATGGAGTATGTAAACCCATATCCTGACTAGATAAGACGACAGCAAAAGATAAGAAAGCAGAAACAAGCGAGTGACGTTGAGGGGAAGTGAGAGAAAGTTCTGATTAATGAGCGAAACACAAGAAGGAAACTTGGACGAGTGAGCGAGCGATAGGGAGAGAGAGAGAAAAACGACAAAGTGAGTGAGATCTGTGCCAGAGATGAAACATATGTCATTTTTTTTTGTTTCCGCAGTCCTTTTGGTAGAGGGAGAAGATGTATAAAAAAGACTGTGCCATTTCCCTGCCCACAGGTTTTTATTTTTGTACACTGTCGCTTGGTGAGTCAATGCAACGCCCCTCCAATTACCTCCCACTCTTTCGCCCCCACGCCCCATCCATCCCGCCCTTCAGCCCACGCACCTAACACACTCTGACGTCAGTAGCTGCTGAGAGTCGGGGGGGATGGGAGGGGGGTCCGATTCTGCCGCCCACAGAGTACTTCCTATCCCCCCTCCCCTCCCCCCCTCTCCGCCCCCTCATGTCTTTACTGGCTTCCTTCTCCTCCTCGCCTCATCTCTTCAGCTGGCTATCACAGCCCAGAATGACTAACTTGCCCAGATCACTTTTTTTCCCTCCTTCTTTTCTTTCTCTGCGAGAAACTGTGATGCATCAGAAAAAACGCTTCACTAACAGGGTATTAAAGAAGTGCTATAACAGTGTAGCAGCCCCCCCCCCCCCCCCGACTCTTTTCCTCTCTATATATCGCTCTCCACCTCCTTCTGTTTCCCCTTCTAACTTCTATCCTCTCTAATTTACAGTCTGCTGAAGTTCAGATGCGCATGGTGGGAGGCACCTCGGAGAGATTGTGACTCACTAGAGTTCAAACTGTAGAGCTTTAAAATATTCATTGTTAGGAGAGGTTAGGGAGTCTCTGTCTGTCATTTTCAATTCAACCCCATCACCACCATCATCTTCTGTTTTTTTTTTATTTATTTTATTGTCTGTGTACTCACAAGATCAAGCAGGAGTTTGGCAATTTAGAATGCATTTTATTTATTTTTTAATTTAATGTTTTGGTTTGTACTTAGAGGAACATGTAGATGCCTCTCTCACCTCTCTGTGATGAATATAAATGAGCAAACAGGACAAAAACAAATTAATTGGTGAATGTGCTAACTGGCACCCATACCTTCCTGCTCGCCACATGAGAGTGGATTAATTTTTTAAAAAAAAGGAAAAAAGTAAATAAATGTGTCACTCAAAATGTCAATCTCCTCTTTAACTGGTACAAAACTGGGCAAATATCACAAAATTTCCTTTATTCTCTGTGCAGTTTCAAATACATAATACTTGTAGGTCATTACTTGAATTGTCACCTGTGGCGTGAGCTCCGTCTGAACCTAGGCTGATCTTTCCCGCCCGGTCATGTGACACCATGCGAGCCAGTCTCAGCCCTTCGTCCATGAGCGTTTGCTGTATGAGGTGGCGACTCCAGCTGGCGGGGTTGGAGGTGTCAGTGTGAGGACGGGGAGATGGAGACTGGTTGCACTGGGAGCCCATGTCTACCAGAACAGACAGATCTGGGTTTTAATGCTGCCTTTAAAGAGTTTTTATAAAAACAAACACTTTGACAGATCAAAACCCCGCAAAACAAACAGGTTTTATTACTTTACAATTTTTTTTTTGCTAACATCAGTCTGATTCTTCTGTTTTTTACCATGTGATACACTGTCCAGGCTTTCTGCAGATAAGCTGTCGTCATCTGCCCTCTGAGTCAAACTCTCGGATCCCTCCACTCCGAGGAGTGATGACACACTCTCGGGCACGACTCCCTAAGATACATCACACAAGCAACACTGTCAGTTCGGTGCTGATGAACCACTTCAGATGACTGCCAGTGCACCCGACACTCACCTCGAGCCTCGCTCTCTTCTGGGGCAGAAGGCTGCTCTCGTCCGCGTTCGTCCTGCAGTGGGGGGGACACAGTGGCGGCAAATGAGTGTGAAAAGCACATGGTTTCACCCCTCACAGAGGTGAGGATTCTACCCACAGAGAAAGCTAATAAATGATCACTGCAAAATCAAGAAAAAGGAATTTTTTCACTGTGAATAAGTAAAAAATTTATTTTTATGTGTAAGTAAAAGGTGTCTATTGTTAGATGAGCAGACTGTGAACTTGGTATCTATTTTTCAATCATCAACAATCGAGTATAATAAATTATGATGCTGAAAAACTGAAATATAATTACAAAACTACTCCTGTTTAGTTATGGTTTGTGTACACTGACTCATTCTGTTTGCCCCGCATGAGAAACATATGTAAATGTTCTGTGCAGGTTAACAAACACACATAGTATTTGTGTACTCTTGTAACGGCTTAAAAGTTGGCTCATTTAACTAACAGTACAGAGGTCGGAGTTTGATTCCCACTGAGACGTGAACTAGGTTCACTCTGAAAATGAATCCACTGGTTGGTTGATGACTCACATAAATCACCTGTTGAACATGCTAAACACAAACTATAAAATCATTTCATTCAAGTTTTTTCACATGATGCTCCTCAGTCTGAAATAACCATTGTATTCACTACTGCGAATGATCTGGTCTTTATGGATCTTTCAAGCTACACTCCTGATTCTGTAACAGTTCTTTTTCTTTCTTGGTACACAGCAGGCGTGAGGTGTTTTGCTCTTCTCTGCAGGCATCTTCTTACCTTGCATGCTTTAGCGTGGAGGTGTAGGCACATTTTCTCGCCACCTGCCGAGCCAGAGAAAAGAGCTCCACCCGTCTCAGCAAAAGGGCATTGTCACGCATGCAGAACTGGGCTGCAGCTTCATTGATGATCAGCTGAGAAGGAAAAACACTGAGTGAAGAAGGGATGGACACTGATTGACATTTGATTAAAGCTGCACTCTGGTATGAAGTGCAGCTTTAATCACGTATAAAATGTGTTGCAATGCATTAAAATCTTCTTCAATTTGATGCTTTTACCTCATGATGTGTGAGTTGCTTGCCTTCCCTCCTCTTGGAGTCAAAGCGCCCATAAATAAGACTGTATTTCCGGATCTCCTCTTCCTTGTTCACGTCCTGGGACCCCATTCTGAAGATGTGTCCCACAGTCTTTGCCATCTTCTTATTCATCCTCAGCAAAGTCTTCACCTCTGCAGGATCTGACCTAGGCAGGGTCGTGAGGAGCCTCTCCACAGTCTCCACCACGGCCCTCGCTGTCTCCCCATCCAGCTGTCCTCCGGGCCAGGCAGACGGAGCTGCCGGGATGAAAGATGCAGAGGGGCTCGGAGACGTGGAAGGACCGGGAGGACATGTTGACAGTAGAGGTGGGCTGGATGGCTCCTCTTCTGTTCCAGGTGCAGAACCCAAAGTGCAGTTCCCATCATGCTCTGGGCTGAGCCAGTGTGGATCCATAGGAGAAAGTTTTTCCCTGTAGTGTGTGTCTGGGGGCTGTGGAGAGGCTTGGGAACAGGGGCTTCTTGGACTCCCGCTGTGCATTGGTGTAAGGCACATCCGATCCTCTCTCTCACAGGGGGATCCTGGCTGCCCATTACTCACAGACTTTCTGGGCCCGCCAGCTGATCCACTTGTGCCAGTGCCATCAACTTTAAAGAGCGGGATGCCCCCAAGAGGAACATTAGCAACAGGCTGGCTGAAAAGGGCAGGGTTCGCCGCCCAGTCTCGGAGGGCCTTTTGCAGCCTACGCACATGCAGTGGCTTGGTGGCCATGCCAACTAGTGCCATGATCTCCAGGAACTCCTCCTCCGCTGCCTCGCAGAGCTGCTGGACATCGTCACCACCCTGCTGGATAAAGGTTTCATAGTAGGCCAGCAGGTTGGCCCTCTGGAGGACCCGATACAGCTGCAACTCACCAAGTGTGCGTGGCAGAGACATGGCACACAGCACTGGAAAGTTTAGGCAGGAGAAAGGAAAGACATGAACCTGCAGATGGAGAAATCCTGTACAAGTTAATTATTTAGATAAAGACTTTGGCATCTGGACCACACCTAGTATATACAGAATACAAAATACAAATATAGTCAAATAATAAAAACCGATAAACAGTTAAAAGCAAGTTTAAGCATCCCTTGGGGCAGAATAAGCTCCTATCTACTCATTATATTTTTCATGACTTAATCTTTGAATACACATAAATCGCTTTTTTCTTACCTTCTTTAGGTCAGGTTTACAGATGTGTAAAGAGGAAACCGGCGTAATTTAGCAAGGGTGTCGCTCCAGCCACCGATGTCACGGGTCGGATCTGCCAGAGCAATACTGACAAAAGGAATAAAAACTAAAATCTCCTGATCACAGACAGAACCGCATTCAGACTGCACTAAAGTGAAAACACTCGTTTTTTGGCTCCATTTCAAATAAAGCCATCGACTGGAGGTAATTGTTTACTATCCAGATGTTAAGAGGCGAGCACCCAAAGACGACGCAGTTATTATCCCATTCGTTTCTTACCGTCTTACCTATTGCCGACAGCTTCCTCGGCGCAGATTGGCGTAGTAAATCCCCTTTGCGTATCTTACCTCGTCTGAAATCACTGGCAGAAATCCTCCTCCGGCGCACCGTATTGGTTGCTGGCTGCCTTTTTGCTGTCTGTGTGGGCTGGAGAATGACGGGGGCGGACTGCAGCACGCCATCTGACCGAAAAAGAGCCTTCCTCTCCCGGTAGAGAGGCGGCTTTCAAATTGGAGATGTGGGTGGTGGTGGTGGGGGCTTGAAATTAACCCTCTGCGTCTTCAAGATTAGTCCTTTATGCAGAAGCTTTAGGGGGTTCCCACCGTTTTACTATGTCAGAGACTCCCAAAACAAGCAGCCAGCTATACACTATACAGACCTCTGTAGATAACAATAAACTGACGTGACAGATGTGGATTTTTACTGAAGACCAGTTCTGTTATTTCCCCCCATTTTATGTAGGAGGTGGTAGAGTGGGTGAAGCTCCAGCAGTTTTTAAATGCTAATATTGTATTTTGTTTTGTTTTGTTTTAAAAAGTAAAGGACCAAGTCACCAAACCGTGGCTTTAAATTCACTAACATTATCTCCAAAGAAGTTCAAAGTCCAACACCAGCATCTCCAATCCTTTTTTTTTTTTTTGCCACATTTTATGTGATTGTTCTATTGTACAATGATGGCCTGTAAGATATGTATTGTGTGCCTATCCATTTGCAGTTTTAAGTGGCCTTTAGGTACATCTACACCACGCACTTTAGAAATAAGGGATTTATTCATATGTTACAAATAACAACCCAATTACCCTTTTACTGTGAGCATAAGATGGTCTGAAAAAAATTAGCCAGACCGAAGCACCGTGGTCATTAGGCGTGGGCTTCTAACACGCAAATCTTAGTATTAAGGAAAATGTGTTATCCATTTCCCCCCGAATTTAATTAGCAGGCTACTATGAACTACAAACTCACGTAAAAACACCTCGGCGTGGCGTTGGTGGGTTTCTTAGCCCGCATTTCTAAAGTTAGCCGTTTACGGTCAGCTTTCCCCGAAACATTAGATGGCAGCAGAGTCCCGCTGTTGTGTTTTAACCGCGCGCAAACCGCGAAGAGGGAGCTGGAGGCGGAAGAGGAAGTAGAAATAAAGTGGGAAAAGGAGCCGCAGAAGAAGAAGAAGTGGCTTAAAAAAACAAAACAACACCGACACTTGGATGTCTGTTAACAAACAAGGTTATACAGTTATCCGAGAGGTATATATGACATTTCATTTGTTTTAATACAAAACGCAGAATTATTTGCCTTCTTTGTTGCACTGGACGTCCCGGTGTTTAAACATGTCTTGGCGTTAGTAGCCAAACCAACCACACAGGAAGGGGAAACAGGCGTTTATATTTCAGTTAGTCCTGCTAGTAGCTAATAGTTCACTGCTGGCTCGCTAAAAGCATTAACAGTCGCCTGTTTTGTCTTCGTTTGTGGCCTTATTTAGTCGAAATGTTGCCAGGTTAACTATCCAGAGGCAAGCTAATTTTAGCCCCCGTAGCGCCTGTCTGTCATCCTGCTTGGCTGCTTCCTCATGCTAACACCAGGGCTGCCTGCTAATATTGTCCGCCTTTTAAAACATCTGGTGATTTGAACACAGTTAACATGTTAAGGGTCTGACTGACTTCTTTATACTTTTTTATTTACTGTGAAAGGTTAAAAGGTTGTTTATTAAAGGTCGGGTTTTACACACACTGCGTTTTTGTTTGGCTAACTGGATTAGCAAACAACAAAGCAGGGTAACTGCATGTAGTCTGTGTTTTCACATCTGTGTAAATACGCGTAAAAGTAGCTTCAAAGAGGGTATTTGTAACTACTTGATACTTATACAGTTGTACCGATGAAGTCGTGCAGCTACATTGCTCACTGACTACGTAACTTGTTAATTTATAGTTACCTCCTTTTGTTTCTTTTAAAACTTACAGTTTAGCAGTTATTATGCGCTCTGGTGTCAAAGCATTTGTCTTAAAGTAATGCTCTTACTTTTCAGTTGTCTGCAACGTCTAAGGTTTTTTCCTGCATTTAACCCAATACATTAAAAAAATCACTTGGAAACAAAGTTAGAGAGACAAAGTGGAGATGTGCAGAGGAGGGAAAGTGGATGTTAGGGATTCTAGGGATAGTGTGAGCTAGAGCGACATGGTTTATGGCTATATATGAAATAAGAAAGCCAAAAATAACAGGAACAAGGATTCACTTATATTAAGTAGGGTGACACAGACTTGTTGTGATATCAAAACCTGGAGATTGATTCATATCTGTTGCTTTTCAGGAGCTCCAGTGCATCATGTGAGTTGTGCAAAAGCCTTTTGATACGTACAAGTGGCTGCTGATGCAGTGCACCTGAACTTGACCCATGGGAACCCCCAGTCTCGCTTTTTTATGAGAGCCTGGGAAAAATGTGGCCTCAAATTCTGGATTTAGGAACTCTTTAATGAAAGTTAGATTTTACAGCGCTTCAGTCAAATTGCTGTAAGGAACATGGAAAGAGAAGCAGCTAAGAAAGAGATGGATGTTGTGGACACTGATGAGGAGTTCCCTGATGGTGTTTCGGCCTCAGTGACCAGTTCAAGTCAGTGTGAGGTTGAGGATGAGTGCGAGCACGAGGACAAAATAGCCTATCTCAAATCTCAGGAAACCCCAAACCCAGCCACTCTACAAGACGTTGAGGCTGGTGAAGCAGAGGCCAAAGATGATATTGAGGAGGTTTCAGAAGAGTTTGAGCATGACAAGACTACAGAAAATGAGAACTCACAGGTTATAAACCAAGAAGAGGATGATGCCGCAAAGGAGCAGCACATGAATGGGGAGTCTGGTTGGAGGAACATAGGAAGTGGAAGGAAGTGCAAACTGAGGAGCAGTGGGTCAGTTTTAGAGCAGATTCAGAGAGGCAATGTTATGTCAAGTGGCGGTCGGCACAAGCAGACCCGCAGACGTAACCACCACCACTATCAGCAGAACCGGGGCCGGCGGAGGACAGGAAACCAGCTCATCTTAGCGTTCAAGGAGATGCTGTCAGAGTGTCTGAGCTTCTGGTGCATCTCCTGCATCCACATGATGATTGAGATTATTGTCACTTTAACTCACAACTGTGGAGTTGGAGTGGAGACTGGAGTTGTAAAACTTTACAGCCTTGGGCAGCAGCTCCTTGTTAAGATCACTGATGTTCCTGCAATGAAGGCAGATGCGATCCGGATTCTGAAGTGGGCAAAGTGCAAAGGAGCTTGTGTGGTGGATAAAACTGTTAGGTCAGTAAAGTGGATAAAGACAGTTGCCTTATCTTGTTTCACATTTTTCTGTGCTGTGGTTATTCTGGGATTGCAGTGGGCCAAGGGGGTTTTCCTTCGTATTGGTGGGGATAGGGGGAAGCACTATTGGACAGCTTTTCAGGAGACACGCATTTGGAAAAGGATAGTGTCCTTGCTGGAGAAAGCCCGAAGCCTATTCAGGAGGGATGGTCATGTACCGCCATCCGCACCGGGGTCACCTGGCAGAGCAGGAAGAGCTCAACCGGGCCAGGAGTTGGAGAGACTGCTGGCACTGGTTGAGGTACCAGAAGATGAGCTCGATCCCTTTACAGTTCTCGGTGTTGAGGTGCATGCCACTGACACTGAGCTGAAGAAGGCTTACAGACAGCTGGCTGTCCAGGTGTGAGAATCAGAAATACTTCAATTTTTACTATTACATGGCTGCAGTAGTGACTAATTTTGATTCTTTACTCATGCAACCTTTTCCTCTGTCCGTTCTCTTTCAGGTCCATCCAGACAAGAATAAACACCCACGAGCTGGAGAGGCGTTCAAAGTGCTCAGGGCTGCCTGGGATATTGTCAGTAATCCGGAGACACGACGAGAGTACGAGTTGTAAGTGCACGGGAAAAAAAATCAACAATAAAATTACAAAAGAAAGAAATATTTTAATCACAATTATTTATTGTATTTTAAATCATATTGTCAATTATTTCAATGCAATGATTTTTCTTAAGTTATTTCTGTAAGTTCTTATTGGTAAAACAACAAAACCCACTCAAGTACAGTTTGATAAATAACTGTACATTATACTCATTATCTCTGATCAACAACTTGTCTTACTCGTCCTCATGCAGGAAGCGCATGGCAGCGACTGAGCTCTCAAAGTCCATGAACGAGTTTCTCACTAAACTGCAGGATGACCTGAAGGAAGCCATGAATACTATGATGTGTACCAAGTGTGAAGGCAAACACAAGTATGGTGTTACACATCCAGCATCGCCATCACACAGCTGCACATAAAATAAAAAAATTCTATAAAACTGTAGCTAATCTTGTGTTGTAGGCTTTCAGCACAGGTGTGTTTTATTTGTTTCCTGTGTGTGTATGAAGGCGCTTTGAGATGGATCGTGAACCCGCTGAGGCCCGGTTCTGTGCTGAATGCAATCGTTGCCATAGCGCCGAGGAAGGGGACCTGTGGGCTGAATCGAGCATGCTGGGCCTACGCATCACATACTTTGCCTGTATGGATGGCAAGGTGTATGATATTACAGGTGAGCATCAGCTGTTGTTTACCTGTCCGGCTCGTTAGTAACAAACCAGTAGTGCATCTCAGAGTTTGCGTTTACCAACAATCTTTGTTGATATTTCGACAGGCTACTGAAAAGGTACGGGTTTTTCTTGCTGATCATTTTACTCTCAGTCATGTGACCTTTTATGATACTATCTCGTTTTCAGAGTGGGCAGGTTGCCAGAGAATTGGAATTTCTCCTGATACACATCGGGTCCCGTATCACATCTCCTTTGGTTCAAAGAACAACAGCAATGCCACACGACACAGGTACATCCCTCTGGGTGAACGTTTGGATACTGTATCTAATATGTATCTAGTATCTGTATCTAGTATCTAAAACAAACAGTTTGATCCTTCTCCATCACACTTAGGGGCGTTTTCACACCTATAGTTACAAACTCATTAAGTGGTCTGAATCAGCTGATGAGTTTGTAAGCTTGTAGCTTTTCCCTGTGATTTGGTTTGTTTTCACGTAACATGGAGAAAAATCCAAGGGAACTGAAATGCATCACTACAAACCACATGAGAATGTTTATTCCACTTATTGGCCAAATGTGTCTGAAGTGGAAGCAACAAAAGTAAATACAGGAAGAAGATGCTGTGTTATGGACTATTGGAAAGTTCATTTCACAGCTAGTTGCAGGCCCGTGCAGGCCTTTTCTTGTCAATAGTACCTTGTCACACTCAAGAATTTAAAGCATGCATGGCTATGGGAAGTTTTTTAGCTCAAACTTGCAACATACACCTGGTCGTTGGTTCGACTCGAGCTTGGATCATGTTCACAACATAAACGAGCTGATCTGGAGATCATTTGGAACTGTACTGACACCACCAAAGTGTCTTTGTGTGGTTGTTTTGGTCTGCACCTGAGTGCGATCTGAACAAACAAACCACACAAAGGCTCAGGTTTATCCCGCTTGTTTTTAAACATCTGCCCTTTGCCAACGGCAGACTGAGAGTTTTCCTTTTAAATGTGCAGAGAGGGGAAAATGCAAACGTTTTGGCACTAGAGAAGAAATTAAAACAAATAACCTTTAAAATGTCTGACTTTGCTCAAATTAGATTAATGTAAACATGTTTGATATTAGTTCTTTTTATTTCTTTCTTAGTCTGCCATCTGCATTATGTTGCTGTGTATTTTACATGCATTTGGCTGTGTATGGCATAGAAGGAGCTCCCCCTTGTGTATTGCGGAAATAACAACGTTTACAATAAAGAAAGCTGTACTATTCATTTCAATTATAGTCAAAAAGGTTCCTCTCCACGCAACAACATTATTTCCCTCGACAAACTTAAATTTCCATCTTATCTTTCAGGACGCCGTCGGAGCAAGCGGCAGGTCCGACCAACCCAGCTGATTTGCAGGACTTCTTCAACCGAATCTTTA